TATATATATATATATATATATACTATTTGTTCTATATATGTTAGAAGCAAGTAATATTCCGCATTCGCTAACCTAAAATTTTAGATTCGTTTCAACTGTTATATTTTTTCATGTAAATTTATATAACCTTTAAATCCCATATCAATAACCCATTATCATATTAGGAACTAATCAAAGTCTATAAATTAAAGTTTAGCCATCCTCTAGTTCCTTCTCATCAGAATTTAGAGAAGACACCATTTTTGTCCCTTCCCTCCATCACTAACAATTGTTTGGATGTTTCATCTCATGGTTTTAATCTATGTTGCTCTAACACTAAAAAGAATATTTTGGATAACTAAAAATTGAAAGGCAAAAAATTCAACGTCCCTCATATATTTTGGATAACAAAAAATTATTTGTCGAATCTTCACCAAATGAACTAGTTTAAAGAATAGAAATAGTATATAGGAGTCTCTGTTAGTATTTAACTAGTCTTAGAGTACGCGCATTGCACGTGTTATCTTATCTCAATAAATATCATATTTCAAAGAATTACATAAATATTATATTATTATGGTTGAGTTATAAAATAAAAGTTAAAGTTAAAAATAGTAAGTTTTTAAAAATAATAATTATTGATCGCATTTAGCTAACTCAAAAAAAGAAGGAAACTCTATCCCATATAAGTTCTTAATCATCTCATTCAATGGACAGAAGACGCCTTCTTTTTCCTCACGAGCAAAATGTAATTTTTTCTATTTCTTTTATATATAAGAAATATCACAGGAATTATTTCCAACAAATTTAAAATAAATTACTATCACAAAAAGTAAATTCAACCGCTACTTTTTAATTAATCTACTTTTTTGTTTTTAACTTTCCACGTATGAAATTATATGTATGAATTTATTCAAGAGTTTTATAGGATTTTGCAGTTGATGCTTATTACTATATTATAATCGATTTTGCATTATTTTTTATTTTTTCCAGCACAATAGCTATTCCTATAAAAAAATCTTATTTTTGTATCTAAAATTTTTGTCAGTTGGAAAAAGGGTTTACTTAGATGATGATTTGCAAAGAAATTGAATGGGATTTCTTTTTTAATTTGTTAATTCAAAAATTTAATATTTATTCTTATTAAAAGAAATAATTTGATTTTTGTTGATTGAAATTATTAATATGTTTTAAACATTTGATTATAGTTATATTTTTATTTAGAATTATATTTTTCAAGCCTAAAAATTCAATCTGATATTTAAGTTTGGATATTTGTATTTGCAAAGCTATTCGTGTTTTTTTTAAACTATTGCCAACGGCCCACCACCCCCCCCCCCC